TAGAGCTTAAATACGCTTTTTTGTTGAAGCACTAACTATAACTCACATAATATTTTTTTTTAATAGTAAAAATTTTCATATATTTTCTATACGTTGATGGACCAAAAACTTAGTATGATACTAGCAGCTCACCCTTACTTCGCTCGGGCTCGCCTCTAGAAAAGCACAAACAGATCTATCCCACGGGAACCGTTCATTTTTCCGGGATAAAAAGTAACCTGTTGTTTGACCGGTAATATAAGGTATCACCATGCAAAATTTTACTAAATTAGGTGCATAAGTTGTTGTGTACTAAGCTGTATAAGTTACTAGTGTTCTAACTCTTTAATTTTCCGGGATGAAAAGTATCTAAAATGTTGACCCGGAATATAAGGCACCACCATGCAAGATTTCATTTAATTCGGTCTAACAGTTTCGGAGTCCAAATCCGTATCCAAGTTCTATTTCCCTTCTTACACCCCACCTGACTCGGTTTTTAGCATTTTTTTCTATGTACAGACATTTGACCTCTACAGTTTTATTATAGTATAGATAAGAAATTAGGACTGTTTTTTTTACTTTAACTCACTTATTTTAATTAAATACTTAAGTCTTTACTTTAAATTAAATACCAAGATATTTTACTTTAAGACTATAGTGTTCTTAACAAATTTAAAACAAAAAAAATATGTAAGATATATTTAGAAAGAAATTGACCTGTGTAAAATCACGTGTCTTCTAAAAATTATGCACTTACGTCAGTCACTACATTTGTAATGCAGATATGTATTAAATCTGAAATTCATCTGAAACTGATAACCGTGACCCCAAAATCAAGACAACCGCTACGCTACATCCGAAACCGTTATGTAACGGGCAACAAATTTCTTAATAATAATACGTGACGAGGAAACTTTGCACCCCTTGTAAGCATATTGCGTATTAAAATTTTAAATAAAACTATTTTTTGCTGATTTATTTTGAACGTTTCGAATGCTTTAGAGCAATCATAGTCACGGCAGAGACTCTCCTTTGCTCCGTGCTGCAAAACATTCGAAACGTCTAAAATAAATGCACGGAAAATTCCGAAAAGATAATTTAAATATTATATAGAGGTAGGTAAGGTTTGTGAGATTGTGAGTTTGTGACATTGTAAGGGGTAATGTTTGGACCTACTGAACCGATTTAGATGAAAGGTAAGAAGATAGTTGGAGACCCTGGGAACGACCTAGGATTTTTATCGCGGAAATCATCCCTTAAGGGGGTGAAAAGGGGGTTGAAAGTTTGTATAGGGAATCAAGCTAGGGAAGAACCCGAGCGAAGCGAAGCGTGAGTCGCTAGTGTTTAATATTTGCGTAAATCTAAAAAGTATTATAGTTAAAGTATATTTGAAGGATTGCAGAAAGAACTTTAAAAAACTACATTAAATAAAACACTAAATTAATAAATAATACACTAAATTTACGAATAAGATAAGACAAGTGATTCTGTGATGCCCTATTAACACAGGGAAGGTTATGTTGGGTTTTAGTGGATACTGGATAGTACTGGCTTCTCTAGCCGGTGAGTAGGTAGCACATAACCACCTGTATGGTGATATGCGTAAATGTATTTTTCGACACTAAAAAGAAAAAAGCTTCTTACAGAGAAAGGAATTTTTTATCTCAAAGCACTAACTTCAATTTTAAAGAATATTAAAACAATGCTAAAACATACTAGTAATTATTCTGAAACACGTAGACTTCAATACTAATTTTCACGTCCTATTCACGAATTATGCACCCACGTCACAATGATGTGATGATGATGATGATGTTCTCCTGGCCGATTCCGGCCACGGCGGCCAATCTCAATGAGATTAGCCAACTGCACAACGCGCAGACACAAGTGCACTCTCTATTCCTATCACTCTCATACTCCGGTGGGACGACCACTCGACACGGCCGGTGAGAGTTAAGGCGCAGGACCGACGGCTTTACGTGCTCTCCGAGGCACGGGAGTGAAACACCGCCAACATCCCAACTCCGGGCTGTTACTGAGACTTACTATACAGGAAGACTCAATAACTAAACTTGGCCCGACCCGGGACTCGAACCCAGGACCTCCGGGTGTGCAGCCGTACATGCTAGCCACTACACTAGCGAGGCACCCACGTCACAATATTAGTAATTTAGATAAGCTATTTTTTTTAATAAATATCAGAAATTCACAATCGTGATCCCAGCTCGCAAACAATTGCAATGTTAAGTTTTACATACGAATACGTCATATGACTTGCTGGAAATCGTTGTCAATACATACCTATACAAAAAAATATATAATTTAAATTATCTATACAAATAAGTAATATTGAAGTGTCTGTTTGTAATTTCAAAATAATAGCTTTTTACTAAATACATATAAAAGTATATACAGTAATTATAATTCCAAAAACACATTTTACAATTTTTGTCTGTCTGTCTGTTGAGGCTAATCTTCGAAATGGCTGGACCGATTTTGACGGGACTTTCACTGGCAGATAGCTGATGTTATAGGTAATAACCTTGGCTAATTTTATTTAATAAAAAGGACTAAGGGTCTGCGCAAAATATTTAAAATCCATGAAATTACGAACAAAACTGGCGTAAGTCGCTAGTTAATAATATGTTTCATGTAAAAAGAAAAGTCTGTATGTATTCAAAAGAAAAAGTGAGTGAGCGGTTATTAGGTGCAACTTTTAAATAATTTAAAAACCCCACTATACATAGCTACGAATATGTACATCTGTCTGATACCTAATCAAAGCCAGAGTGACGGCCTAGTATTAACATTTTTTATCATGCATTGTCGCCTATAAAATATTTCCACTCCAGTGCTAAACGAGGAAAAGGTCAAATCTATATAAAACATTAATTACAATGATATGAGATCTTCAACAATAAAGTCCATTAGGTGACATTAAACAAACAGTTTTATAAACAGCCCCCGTTGCTTTTCTCTGTGTATCCAGCACACCCAGAAGAAGAAATAACATAGATAAAGTGAATAAAATAACTAAATATGTTGGAACATTAACACACAGCACCATCTTGTTCCATGGTAAGCTACGCGGCTTGTGTTTTGGATACCAGATATGTAGTTGATACACTACAAATATATAACTTTAAATACATATATATTATAAATACAAACACCCATGACTGGAGTACAAACATTCGAGCTCATCACACAAATGAATGCCCCCAGCGGGAGTCGAACCCGCAATCACTGGCACAGCCAGTAGGGTCACTACAAACTGAACCAAACGTGTCGTCAAAATAAAAATACATAGAACTAAATATGAAGCCAAACAATACTGTTTCAAAATAGTAAACAAATGATAAATAATATACTGAGCCATAATTAAGTAAAGAAAAATAGCATACGGATTTTATTAGAATAAAGAAACAAATTTTAATTACTTGAAAATCAATCTCACAAACAAACATAAATTACAAATTCATTTTATATGTACTTTAATGATATGCTATGTACATAATGATGGAAATGTACAAATGCAAAAACAGCGCTACGAATCCATTTAAGTACGTAAATACTTGTAGTCCTTTAACGTTATATGAATATTCCCTTTATTTTTTACAACCATATATAAACAAATTTATAATTCAAGGTAAATACCTTGCACAACTTGAAAGATAACAAATACAATGAGTAATGTTTATATCCAATATAAATAAGTTTTAAACGGGAACTGTATCTATGACCTAGTTGACATCTAAGTTAAGAAGCAGCCAATATATCTACGCAAGAGATAATATTATAATGCTTAAGTATGTACTTGGGCAGACAATTTTTCTCTTCCGTAGTTAAATTCTATCCCTTTAACTCCTATATTAACAGGTTCACAGTCCCGTGCTCCATACGTTGGATTACACACTTGATGGCAAGTCCGTGAGACACCATATGGATCATGGGGTGCATACAACTTTGAATATTGTTTTAGGCTTGGACTTGTGAGTAAGCTTTTGTACTATTTTAGGACTTATTAATAAAAAAAATTACATATTATGAAAAAAAAAACATTCCTAACATTACTTGATGATTTGACTTGACCAAACAGTGACATGATGATTTGTTCATACGCCGATAAGGCTGTACACTTATCTTTCTTCTGAGGATGGAACTTGTAAATAATCATAAAATTTACGATGGAAATGGACTATAAATAAACTGCGATTTTCTTATACAAATACCGTTTTCCCGATTGGGCTATTAAAGCTAACAAGTTGGTCAGACAAATATAATATTCCTTTTTCAACCGACTTCCTAAAAAGGAGGAGGTTCTCAATTCGGCTGTACGTTTTCTTTTTTTATATTTGTTACATCAGAACTCCGTTATTTATTAACCGATTTGGACAATTTTTGTTTTGTTTGAAAGTGTATACTTCCAGATTGGTCCCATTTAAGTTAAAAAGAAAATACCACCCCTAAGGGTGGAAAAATAGCTAATGATAAATTTAACCTACTTCTAATTGTCATTTTGACTTGAAACTTTGCAAGTGTTTCTATTTCCGTTGATAGTACAGTGGTTCAGTATTGTTGACCTGATCTGATGGTAAGGCCAGAAGGTGGATATGTGGAACTCTTTAACGCCTAATAGTAGATACTTTGAGTTTGGGCTTATTTTGTTTGATTTGACAAGCCTAACACTTTAGAATGGGATTTTAGAGCCAGAATTTTTGGTGTTATTAATAAAAGCGAATTTTAATTTGTAAGTCTTCGTATAAAAATTGGCGTCAAAGTAACTTCAACGGTATAAGCGAATATTTTATTAAAATACTTTCTTCTTATTTTGCTACTACTATGTCTACACTAAAAAGGGAAAAATAAAAACTTTTTAACAAAAAAATAAAAACCGACTTCAAGAAAAGCACTAAAAAGTAATCAATAACTGATTGGTAATTTTCATTTTGCTTTAGAATCGATTTGAACTAAACTTTGATGTTTATAATATCACATTTTAAAACAATTATAGAACTTACCCAAGTAGCTGTCCATTATTTAACTGTTCGGGGGGTGATTTGACTGAGAACATGACTTTGTCGCTCAGCTCACCGCGGCTCCCGCGCCCCATGAGGGGTAAGTGTATTTGAGTGCCTTTCGACTCCATTTTCTTACCGGACGTCATCACCGAGTGACCATCCTGATGAAATCCCTGAAACAATAGATATAATATGTCAATTTTAATTTTAACGTTTAGTATAGATTTCTTAGAGAAGTGATATTTTCGCGCAGTAAAAAGTATCCTATATGTTGAATCCTTTATACCAAATTTCATGAAAATCTGTCCAGTGTATTTCTCGTGATGCGTTACCAGACAGATAGATAGACAGACAGACGAAAATTCTAAAAAGTATAGAGTCAGCCTCTGTATCGATAATAATGACTATTTCAATAAAGTTTGTCAAAAAATATGTAATGTACAATTTCGGCTCAGATACAATTTTATTATATGTATAGATAATATTAATAAATTAATAGATAGGTGTGTCTGTATGTTTGTTACGCCTTTACGCTAGACAAATTTGGATGTTTAGTATACAGATAGCTTATGACATTAAATAACATTTTTAGTCACTTAGAGACGTACCCGAGCGAAGCGAGGTTAAGTGGCTTCTTAATTGTTAATATTTCTTAATATACTTAACTACAAATTTGAAATTATATGTAGATTTTTTTTATTTATAGTTTTTCTGACTCACTTCATTTTACTATCAACACAAAAAAATAAAACATGATACTTTACTTTCGTGTTGTCTAAAACAAATTTTCTCAGGTGAGGTCACGGACAAGAACTCGGGCTATAGAATATTACAGTTTGTGGGCAGATTAATAGCTCAATAAAGATTCATTGAAATTTAAACTATAAGCCTAAATAATATTCTGTTGATATTGGATATTGATGTCATAATGGCATATTGGAGACCATTTACATGAGTTTTCATATCATTTTTCGTCTGATAAAACCTGACACTACAAAATTTATGACATACAATAATGGCTTGATGAAAAACATAATTCAAACCTATCTTTTACCCATTACTGTTTTTCGCCCACGCTCCGTCATTACCGCGGGTCGATAAAAAAAAACTTTAGTACTGCCCTTGAGCAAAAAATAATTTATATAACTTTCTATTTTTAAAAAAATAATTTATCTGATTTCAGAATTTTTCACATAATATTATAGTTTTTGTATATGAAATTTGGTATGATGATAGCTGGTTATCCGGGTCAACATATAGGATACTTTTTAACTCCGGGAAAATATCTAATTTTTGAGAAAAAATACAAAAACTGCAATGTAAGAGTATACTAATATGTAAAACCTAAGAATTTGGTTATTGTTCATCAGAACGCGGGCGGAGCCGCGGGCAATGCTAGTTTTAATAAAATAGTATTTTACTATTGAAAATTTTTGCTCCTCTTATACGAAACCGTGTTTTTCTACTTGTCCCTTCCTTTATGAGTTTATGGTTCGGACATTCACATTTTTTATACTTACTACTTATTATAATTATATACTTACTAGCGGTTCCCTCGCTTTGCTCGGGTTTTCCTCAAGAAAAACAAAAATAAATCTAACCTAAAATGCTTGCTTATGTGCTATTCCAGACTATAATTAATCTATCTCTGTGCCAAATTTCATCCAGATCCATTCAGCCGTTCTGGCGTGATTGAGTAACAAACATCCTAAACTTTGACATTTATAATATTATCTTATAATATATATACCTACCTCAAGAACAAGGTCACTATGTTTTATATATTTTTTCTGTTACTGTATTATACAAATAGGTAAAACAATGTACCCTGACCTCGTCTTTGAAGAATATTTTTCTCAATAAAGGCGTCTAAAGAAAGTTTCAACAATAGTATCCAGAAAGGATGCTGTAACTGCTGTGTCGGTATAAAGATTTTTCTTAAACAAAGGAATGTCATGTTTCCATAATAACCTCATTACATAAAAGTGCACTTAGTCATTTTAAAAATTATATAAGCTTAACATTATTTTAAGCAATTGTAACAAAATGGATTTTATATTCTTAACGAGACATTAAATAAATATTTCGTAACAGATTTTAATCATTTTTTAAATAAATTTATACTGAAACAGTTACTTTAAAGAGCGTGACAAAAACAATAGACCTATTTTATTTTATTTTATTTACCGTGTTTCAACATCTTATCGGAGAATCAGGAGTGCTTAATCATATTTAATTATTTGTTTCATATAATGAGTTAATGTAATGTTTATAATAATTTTGTATTTAGGAGATGTTTGGTTTGAAATTTTAAGTTTTAAAATTGAATACTGTTTTATCTATATCTAAATACTAGCTACTCACCCTCGCTTCGCTCAGGTTCGTCCCTAGGTACGTTTGGACGCTTAGTATGGAATATATATTTTTTTTCAATTTTTCTTCGTTTTTTTTCCGATGTTTTAATAATTATTGTACTATTCGAAGGGAAGACAAATCCAACAAAACAAAAATCATAAAAATCGGTCCAGCAGTTCTCGAGTTATAAGTGTTGTAACAAACCCGTCTGTGTTTTATATATATTTTATATAATAAAATCGTAACTCATCGCTGTCTATATATGGAAGATATTTCAGAAAAAATCTTTGTTAACGCAATAGAACCCACAACAATAATTTTTAGAATTTTTGTCTGTTTGTCTGTACGTTTGTTCACGTTAATCTCAGAAACGGCTTGATCGATTTGAGTGCGGTTTTCACTAATTTTGTTGTGTTTTTGTTTTATTTTATTCGGCTCAAAAATGAAAAAGTTATGTCAATTTAAAGAATCACCTAATTCGCTAGTTGTTACAAAACCTCTCTTAAATTTTAAGCTCAAACTTTACGAATTAAATACAAGCACGTGCAACTGCAAGCGAAACCGCAAATAATTGTTAGTTCTCGTTAAATATACTGAATGTTGTTTTCAACATGTCACATATAACAATCCTCTATGAACATGGAATCGACGACCGCTATCTAATCCATTATGTATGCTTCCTGCAGTACATTTAAATGTTTTATGTTTAAGCGGTTGTCTCGATCGCTAAAAGAAACCTTACATTAGATGAAGCCACATAATAATATGTTGTCTAAACTGCAATATAACGACTCGGACTACTAATATAAATGCAAAATTTGTGCGTGTGTATGTTTGTTACTCCTTCACGCTGAGACGGTTAGACAGGTTTGGATAAAATGTAGTACATAAATAGACTATAAACTTGGGTAACTTATTATATACTAACGACTCACCCTTCTGCATTTTAACCCTTAGTATAGATTTCTCAGACATGAGATATTTTCCCACAGTAAAAAACATCCTATATATTGACCTGGATAACCAGCTATCAGCATACCAAATTTCATCAAAATCTGTCCAGTAGATTTCTGGTGATGCGTTCCCAGACAGATAGACAGACAGACAGGAAATTAACGCTCAGAAAATTATAAAAACTATAGATTCGGCCTCTGTATCGATAATAATAACTATTGAATTAGATTTTCCAATAAATATTTAATGTATAGGTTGGACTCAGATTTTATTATATATATAGATTAGGTAACTAGGGATGCACACGAGCGACACGAGGATCAGCACCCTTAAACATGCCTGCCTGTGTCAGGGGTCCATGAAACTAGATGATTTCTTGGACATTTTTGATTTGTTAGAGGTCTACATATTTTCCATTGCTTTAGTTTATTTACAACTCTTTATACAACGCACATCAGTGAAGCAATTCCCAGCTCCTACAAGAACGAAGGCGATTTTTAGTACATTATTTTTTTTCTTGACAAATCATATCATCAAAATAGTTCTTGAGATCAGGGTGTACATACGTTCAGATAGAAGGCAAATACCTTTTATATGTATGTGTAGGGATTAGCAATAGAGTTGGATTCAGAAGGTAATTCGCAATAAAATGAAACGAGCTACAATAGAAACAGCCAGATCAGCTAGCTGCACTTGACATAAAAAGCAAATTGGAAAGAGTCGTCAAAGTAGCTAGAGTGCTTGTATGTACGTGAGTGTAGAACTATGTATAATCACTTGGTTTTACTGACTGAAATACAAGGGTACATTGATTGAAATTGTTTAACGTGTATGTTCTTCTTTTTACGTTTACTAGTTAACTTTTTTCACATTAAATTAAGGGGTCGAATCATGGTTGAAACCACAAACGGTTTTTGAATTTTCCTATCAAGAAGTTATTACTCACATACAGAAGTATAACAGTATATACCTACGTGTGGAACATTTTTATGAACACCTTTAGACTACATCGAATGCTGTAAATATCTAAAAATAAAGTGTAAAATATATTCGTAGGTGAAATGCTTCATTTTTTACGTATTTCCTAATATTTTTAGTACAAATCTATACCTATATAAAAGGCAAAAGTGATTGGCTGATGTATCAACGCACAGGCCAAACCCTTAAGGCTAGAAAATTGAAATTTCGCACACGTATTCCTCATATGACCAAGGCATCCACTAAGAAAGGATTTTTCAGAATTCAACCCATAAGAGGGTAAAATAGGTGATGAAAGTTTTTATAAAACCCACTTTTTAGAGCTTTTTTGTAGTTGTGCGAGCGAAGCCCCAGATTCTGCTAGTTGTAAATATTTTTATTACATACTAGCGACGAATTTCATATAATAGGTGCATTATAAATTTGCAGATTACATATTAAGCAGCAACCTCATACCCACCCCACATAGAGAAATTATATTTTACTCCAGTCATTACTAAATTCTTTATAACAAAAGTTCATTTTCTACAAAATGTATATTATACCTAACATTTTGTGAACCTACAAGGACAAGGTCATCATGATAAACTTTAACAACTAAAGTAAATATTTTCTGAATTTCTTGTTATAATTTATATCGTTCGATTGGCTCGTAAAGGTTATTTTAATGATTTATAATATTCACAATTGCTCAGTAAAATAAAAAAGCTTAAGTGCTGTTGATATAATATAGAAGACAAAATTTATTTAGTCTTCTGGTACTACTGTAGTTCATATAATAAGGTCCAATCTACACTGATGATGTTCTCCTGACCGATTCCGGCCACGGCGGCCAATCTCATTGAGACTAGCCAACTGCGCAAGAGATATTATAGTGCATAAGTGT